CCCCCCCCAGTCCCCGTCCCCTCCCCCACTCGCGTCCCGCGTGGCCCGTCGCACCCGGGGGAACCGTGGGCGTGAGCGCCTGGGGGAGGGGAGCCTTTCGTGGGTCCGCGCGCGCCAGTCTGTGGACAGGAGCATCAATCCCGGGCAGGGAAAACCTCACTCTATGCGCTCCGGGTCATAACGGGGACTGGTGTATTTGGGGTGAAAGCTGCTCTCGGTTGCGAGCATCTCGCTTTCTTTCCCAAGCAAATGCAGGGTTTGGGGTGCTGGTTGGTGGGAAACGCAGGGTTGAAATAGCTGTGGTCTTTTTAAGTCAAGGGTCTATCTTTGAGGCAAAACAAAACATCTATTAGATAATCGAGGCAAAGCAACTGGTTTAAATTTCCTTGATCTCCTGGAACTTAAGTGACTGCCTGCCCAATACAAACTGAGCCTAAACCTAGCAATAGTCCAGAAACAAACCAATGAAAAAACCCTCATAAAATTGGGGATGGACCCCAATTGCAAGTTGTCTCGGCTGTTTGAAGCTTTATTTTAGCTAGCAGTTGAGATAGTAGATTTGTACTTGAGCAAACTCAGCTTCTTACTGCAGGATTGGACCTCTTGGTGGTAAGAAGTTAAAATTTTAAATTCAGTATTTGCTGCTTTTTTTTTTTTTCTCTCAGGATGACACAGCAATGTGTCACTACAACCTTGGGCCCAACTTTAATGAGTTTGACTCTTCTAAGTTTATCTCTCTAAGATGTGGTAATACTTGTGTTTGGAGGTAGAGTGTTTTGTAAACATGAAGCAACTCTGCCAAGTAAACTTGAAGAGGTTACTTTCTTCCTTTCAAACATAAAGATCTATGGCTACCGTCTGCTGCTGAGCAACCTGCATTGGCTGGGCTCCATTGGCCTGCGTTTGTTGCAGTACTGTGATGAGCTACAGCAAGCGCTCCCTGTCAGGCAGATAGAAGTGAGCTGAAAGTTGTATAGCTGGTCAGCTGCTCTGACTGCAGTAATTTTGAATCTATGAAATTCCAGGCCCCTCGAGTTTATGTATTTTTATTTTTGTTGTTTGTTTTATTTTGTGCATGTATTTCAAGCAGGCGTCAGTTGAGTAATATATATGAGTGATCTCTCTGTTTATCCTGAAAGCCTTTTCCCAAACAATTCTTAAATGGGTTTGCAGACTATTTGAGGATGCGTAGCTTAAGGGTTGCTTTTCAGTTGCCTGCTCAAGGATCTCTAATGTAGTATGACAGTCTTCTCCAAAACAAAACCTATCAAGGCCAAAAATGACTTCATACTGACTTATTTTACTTTATTTTTTTGCAAGGAAATGTATTGGATGAATGCATTATTAAAACAAATCTAACTTGTATAAAACCCAGTTATTTTAGACTAATCCCATTGTGTGCACGCTAATGTGAAGGGCTAAAGAATTGGCGAACTGGAGATGTACACAACCTTACAACAAACACCTTAGTTGTAACTAACTGATTCTTGCCGAAATAAGCAGTTTGATTTTAAGAACGTGTTTTGAAGCAGTTCTAGACTTCATAGGTTAGAAGGGACTCTTACGCTAATCTAATCGCATGCATGGTACTCAAAGCCTTATCCAGTAACATCTGCATTATGCTTGTAACTTTTATAGGAGCTAACCAGCAAGTTATTTAAACATTACTGGTTGTAGCATGGATTTGAGAATGTACTGCCTTCTAAATTGTGTTATAATAGCCTCCTTTTACAGGAGCCTTTTCTTACAGGTAAATGCGTTAAGAAGCAATTGTGTTGTCAGGTGCTGAAAGTAGGGGTGCCGGTAGGTGGGAAACACAGGGTTGAAATAGCTGTGGTGCTGTAGAGGTTTTTGGGGCTGATACAGATAGCTAATTTTTGAGGAGGCATATTAACTGATGCTGATCTGATTTGATACAGCTGCATCAAGCTGGTAAGTCTTATGGTGGAAGGGAAGGGGGGGGGGGCAGATCCAGGCACCCCATAGTGAAGGAGGGAGTGGGGCTGGGGCAAGGGCTGCCCAGCAGTGGTGGGACAGCTGTGGTTTGTCTGCAGAGTGCAGGGGTCTGTCTGGTGCTCGCCTGACAGCTCCCGCTGCTTCTCTGGCTAGGCATGCAGGGTGGGGGGGCAGGTGTGTGCCCCTGGAACTGCGTGGCATGGGCAGGGCTGGGGCTGAGCTTGGGGTGGGTGGTTCTGAGAGTGGGGCTATGGGGGGGGCTATGTGAATTTTGGGGTGGCTGCAGCCCCCCCCATAGCCCCCGCTCCCAGCGCTGCCACTGCTGCTTGCCCTGATCCGGGGGCACTGCCCCATACCCTCCCAAGCGAGTGGTGCGCAGAGGTGGGAGCCACACCCCCCAGACAAGCTGTGGCTGGGCAGCGCTTGCCCCAGTCCCACTCCCTACCTCGCTGCAGGGGGCTGTTGATCTGTGGCGTGCCCCCCTGCCCCTTCCTTTCCCTTCCACCCCAACAGACTTGCCAGCCAGACACTGGTCTTCAAGCTGCTGGGCTATGCTTCTCACTGCCTACATGCTGTGTTGTGACTGCACATGCACGGGCCATTTATTGGCCACATCAGGCCAATTTCTGATGCAGCCAGTCATCTTTATATTGGTGCTTATCCGATATTGGGCTGATGGATCAGTGCAGCTCTAGCTGAAAGTTCTCTTGAGTATACCATGGGCAAGCATTTCACAAAAGTACAATGCCAAACATACTTCACTTCAAAGGGGGCTTGGCCAAGAAACCAGGACTGCAAGACTTCTAGATCTAATTTAATCTGAAGAGTCCATGACTTGCATGGAGGAGGTGCCTTAATTTTAAGGCTGCTTTTAATCATGTTGTTAATGTTGGAAGTATCTGGAAGGTTTGCTGCATCACTTAAAACCCTAATTTGGAACCAGTGGCCACATCCAAATGAGTGTGGCTGTACAGTATGTGGTACAGCAGACATGTCTGCAGCTGTACCCATCATACATTCAGGTGTTTTCTGCATGGCAAGGTAGCAGTGTGAGGGGATTTTTGACCCTGGAAGATCTGGTTTTGGGCCTACTGCCCAAAACTAGAGACTGGCTGGCTGGAACCATGCTTGGGCTGCTGATCAGACTCCTGAGTGGTAGGATCTCTGCTGCTGGAGCCCCCAGGGCCCCAGGTAAAGCTGCTGGCGCCATCCCAGTGTTGGCTTCAGCATCCCCTACCAAACCTGGGGTATCTTGTGGCATGCCAGAGGGCATGTGACACTGGCGTTCCCTGGGGACAACAAACAGTAGCACAAGATGTCCACAGTCTTGTGGATGTGGCCAGTGAGGGATACTCTACCACTGACATGGAGCACAGTAATGTTGTAAGCTCTTATTTTTAGAAGAAAGTGTTATGTAGCTGAAAAAAATATTAGGCAATTCCTGCCTGCATTAGAGAAATGCAAGAGTAGCCTTTTTCTTACTGTATATTGTTAGTTGCTTTGCTGTAGGAAAAGTAAATTAGATTTGTTGATCCCAATGGTAAAGTAATTGTTTTGGTGTACTGAGGTATCTTGGCAACATTTGTCTTGAGTAAGAGGCAGCATGCCAATCCTTTTTTATTATTCATAACTTTGGAACAGTTTGTATAAAACTAAGTTGTCCTCAAATGATTACTTAAATTATTCTTGCTCTTGTTGTAGATGCCTTCAATTAAACTTCAGAGTTCAGATGGAGAGATTTTTGAAGTTGATGTTGAAATTGCAAAGCAATCTGTAACTATCAAGACTATGTTGGAAGGTAAGAATGTGAAGACTTGAGCTAGTATCTTTCCTCAAGAAGTGAGGAATTCCTTCTAAAATTGGGAATCTTAATCTAATCTGGAGGGGTGAATAAATGACTTTTACATTCTGAAGCATTTATTGTTCCACATAACGCACTTCTAGTGCATGCTCTCCTTCCTATCAAATTGTTTGCTTCAATACACTTTTGGTAGTGATGGCTTAAGAACATAGTCCAATCTCTGTAAGGCTAGGGACAGACATACACAGAAACTGGTTTTTAAGTGATCAGAAACTGGTTTAAACCTGTAACAGAACGGATGTTCAGTGCACATAAACCAGTTTGAATGTAGTAATATCAGACTTAACTGATTTGGCTCAAACCGGTTTATGCAATGTCTGTCCTAGACCCCTTGCTGGCTTAAGATAAACCGGACACCCACAGCATCCTGGCATGCTCTCTGCTTCCTGGTGGGGCTGTCTGTTCCACAGCATGGCTGGTCCCTCCCCTCTGGTCCTTGGCTGGAGTTCCAAAGATGGGGCTCCTTTCAGCTGCCCCTCCCACTCCCTGCTAAGCAAGAATTCCCCCCTCTCCTCTGCCTTGCTGAGGTGCCTGTGTATTGCCGGAATGGGCAAAATGCAGCCTGCGGGCTGGATGTGGCCCACCAGGCCATTGTATCCAGCCTGTGGGGCCCCTAAAAAATTTAGAAAAGTACAGTAAAAGCTCTGTTACTAGCATCCCCTGGGAATAGGGGATGCTGGATAACAAAATATGCCAGTTAATTGCTTCTCCTGCTGTATCTGGGGTGTCCCTCTGCCCCTCCTGTGGCATTGCCATCCCTCCTGGCGCATCACTGCCCCTCCTGCGGGCCCCGTGGGACAGGGAGGCGTGCCCCGCACAGCCCTGTGCAGCCTGTTATGCCCCCAGGCTGCGGGGGCTCAGCAATGCAGGCTGCTTTGCTGCTGGCCATGGGGGGTCAGAGAAACTGGAATTGCCATGGTGGGCACTTCTGATTTCACTTTATCTTACAAGCTGGCATGCCATTTAGTAGAGCATGCTGGCTTGTAAGATGCCGGATAGCGCAGCTTATACTGTAATATTTATGTGCCCCTGGCTGCCTGTCATATGGCCCTTGATACCTTGCTAAAACTCAGTAAGCGGTCCTCCGCTCAAAATAATTGCCCGCCTCTGGTGTATTGGCTAGTAGATCACATGCTGGCTACAGTCCCTACTGAATCAACAAGTAGTTGGTAATGTCCCTCTGTTTTCTTAATTGGGAGATAAGCACTTTTATCAATTCCCTGCTGGGCTAATCGCAGCTGCCAGAGCGTGGCCATGTCTCCCTTGGCTTCATGCTGCGGAAGCAAAGGGAGGGCTGCTCTAGTGCCCCCAGGCTTCTAATCTGAGACACTGCAGGCATGTACCTACATTTCTGGGATGTCTGTCCAGTTACCAAACTGATTTAGCCTAGCCAGGTTAGACTGGCCTTCAAAGATTGAATCAATTCAGGCTCAGGCTTTTTGAATGTCTGTCCTTAGCTAAAAGAAGCTGTGTGGCTTCTTGTTTTGTAACTGATGTCCCATGTAGGTTACTGTTGTGAAGTCATTTCAGGTGATGTGAAGTTTGTGTAACCTACTAGTGTACCAACCCCTGAGTACATATAATTTGGGTCTAAACTTCCTTGTGTAGCTGGTAAGTAACACTAATTGTGTGTTCAATAGTTGCATCTTATTTACAGTCTCAATCCCTATGATGAACTATCTTTTTTATGAATTTAAGTGATGGCTACCAAGGTATCGTGGTGCTGAAGGTCAAGAAACGAAAGTAGGACTTGTATTCAAACAGAATTAAAGGTGTGGGTTTTTTTGATTTGGAGTAACCTGGGTTTCAGTGCACTAACCTCTTTTCTGTAGAATCACCACTGTTGGTATTTGATAATAGCATAGATCACTCGTATTCAAGTGTTCTAAAGACCTGGCTAGTGTAAAGGGGCTTCTTAGAATAACATTTATTATAGATGCCTGTTTGGCATCAGAACTTGAAATTTAGTAGGCCATTGTAATGTTTGGTAAACTGATCAAAATCAGCTTGTCACTTCTACTTGATTTAATAAGAAGCCCCTCTGATGGGGAACTTGACTCAAGGTTGTCACGTTGATCGGGGTCTGTCTATAAAGAATGATAACTATAATGCTCATCTTCAGGGTGACCAGTAAGGTCTCTTACGATGCTGTTCTGGTTGTCTGCGCAACTTTTGGATATGCCTTCAGAGGGACAGTTTAAAAATTGACTATGTTGGGGAGAGGGGGGACAAACCTTTTATTCATATGCCTAGGAGTATGAAGAACAGGCAGTGATGGCTGTTTTGATGCCCTTGAGCTAAGGGAAAGAAGCCAGTTTTCTAGTAACTCTTTAGGCATAGACTCACTATAGTTAATGCAGCTCTTACAGAGTAAGTAGGGTTAGATTATTTGTGCTATCGATCTGGACGAGCTGAAAACAAGAGCAATGTTGGTTTTGATAGAGAGGGAGATCTTTGTAATACAGGCATACCTCGGAGATATTGCGGGTTCAGTTCCAGACCACCGCAATAAAGCGAGTCTCACTAATTTTTTGGTTTCCCAGTGCATATAAAAGTTATGTTTATACTACACTGTAGTCTATTAAGTGTGCAATAGCATTATGTCTAAA